GGGTTGGGTCCGCCTCTTTCGATGAAGACATCGTAGCAGGTCTTGATTAGCAATTTCTCTGGTGCAATGCAGCCCTGTGCCTGAACCCTAACCAGACGGGGAAGAACACTCTCTACCTCTTTTTTTCAGTTTACCTCGATTTGACAGCTATTTGATTACACAAAGTATTAGGGTTTCGATGGCAGTTCTAAAAACGAGAGTATAAACTTCCAAAGACTAATTTCAATTTTGAGATGAAAAACCATATTTAATCCTATTAATATTTTATAATGTAATTTATTATATTATTGAGATATTATGAGATAATTATTTATTTAATATTTTTAAGATACAATAATTTATTATATATGTTTATTTTTATTTATTTATTTATGGTTTAAGAAATTTATAATCTTCTCAAAATTTGAAATTCTCTTATCAACAAACAAAAACTTAGTTTTTTAGTGTTTTATACTTTATTTAAAGACTCTCAGTTCCGGTAAAAATAACATTCTTTAACAATAATTTTTGAGGTTTTTTTTAGCTATAATACTTTTCAAAAATATTATTTGCATGGAAAAAAAAAATCTTCCAATGAAAGTAATACTGTTTTTCAAATGAGTATTTATAATAAATCTCTACATTTTATACGAGAGAAGTTTCAAATAAAAGAAAAAAAAGTTTAACCCGCTAATTTTATTTTTCTAATTTCAATTGAAGATGTAAAATAAGCATTTCAAATATCTTATAGGTATTTTTTAGTTTTTAAGTGATTAATTAATGTCTTTAATTGTATTAAAATAATTACTATTAATATCTCCAACTATATTAAAACAGGTATTAACAATTTTAATTATAATACTATTTTTATTTTTTAAATCATTGAATAAGTTAGATATATTATCTTTATTTATCTTTTATCTTTATCTTTTATCTTTTAGTTAGTTTGTTATTATTTCTTATTTGTATTTTAGACTTATCCAATATTTTTTTTAGGGTTAAATATGTTTTTAGTCTCTAAACTATTGGCCGTTTCTGGTTTTCGTCCCTCTTCCAAAGTAAGGTACAATTTGGTCCTCATTCTTTAGAAAAACGTTCGTTTTAGTCCTCAAAATTTTGTTTTTAGTCCTCGTTTTAGTCCTCAAAACGTTCGTTTTTTCGACTAAAACGAACGTTTTTTAAAGATTGAGGACTAAATTGTACCTTACTTTGGAAGAGGGACGAAAACCAGAAACGGTCAATAGTTTAAGGACTAAAAACATATTTAACCCTTTTTTTTATTATAAATAAAGAACTCTATGTGTGTATTTAACATAAGATATTAATTCCAAATATAGTTTTTCACTATTTATAATAGAAGAAATATGGACTATCCAAAATACAAATAAAAAATAATAACAAACCAACTAACAAATAAAGATAAAAGATAAATAAAGATAATATATATAACAGAATATAAAAAGTAATCTTTTGTATTATTTTTTATTTTAATTTTAATTAAAAAAAGGTTTACAAGTCAATCTATTTTTCATCTCTAAGAAGGTCAATCTATTTTGACCATTATCAATAGTTTTTGTTATGATAAATTGTTTGTGTGTCAAAATATTGGGAACTCTAATATCTAAAAGACAAAATATGTAAAGATGATTGTATTTTTTTTATGTGGTCTCTTTGTAGCTCTACAATTAAATGGCAAGACATACATGAATTCTTTGAGAGGGCCTTTTAGAGAAAGCACGGACTTTATTAAAAATCCTAAAACACCAAATTTGACAGTGAGGCTCCCTCCACCATCCCGTCTTCTCCTTATACTTCTCTAATTTTATTTAAATTCTAAATTTATCTTTTTTACTTTTACCAATTTTTATTTTTATTTTTAAAACTCTAATTTCAATCCCCTCCTACTTTCACTTTTATTTTCACTCTCAGTTGCAAGTCCTCATCCCCTCCGTTGTCACTTTCTCTATTTCTCTTAATTTTCACTTCCGTTAACACAGCATTTTTCATTTCCTTTCAAATTCTGCGATATTCACCGAACATCCAGTGATCATCAAAAAGAAGTTCAACTCTTGCGGCCTAAACGATTTGATTTACAATGATAAGGGTTATCTCCTGGTGCTTCAGAGTTTCAAATTTAAACATAGATTTTCAAGTTTGGTTATTTAAAGACAAGGAAGTGGGGAATAAATTTATAGCAGATTATATCATGGATCATGATACTTCAAAACTCTTCAAAAATTATAAATGTTTTAAATTTAAACCATGCTGAATTTGTTTTTTCTATCAAGTTTTGTGTGAACAGAAGTGGAAATTAAAAGAAAGAGAGAAAGTGATAGTACTGGGTGGGGGCTTGCTCCTCATAGTGAAAAGGAATCTGAAAGCGAGAAAAGATTAAAATTAAGTTTTTAAAAGATAAAAAGTAAAATTGATAAAAGTAAAAAGTAAAAAAAAAGATAAATTTCGAATTTAAATGAAGAAACATCACTTCATACTTGAAAATTCTTCACCAATGAGGTTTGTTCATCATTCTTTTGGGCTTAGATGTGTGTGGCCCAATAGTTTGATGAGTTTCTCGTCACTTTCAGATCTAGAAATAACTTTATATTCAATGGAAATTTGTTAAAGTTTTTGAAAAATCTTTTAATAAATTTGAAAATTGGTTGAAGAATAGAAATGAAATGTAAATTTTTTTGAAAAATCTTTTAACATTTATTAATACCGAAGGTAGTCCATATGAATTATTATTACTTATATTTAATTAAAAAATAAAAATTACAACATGATTTGTATCATTTTGATAATTTTGAAAAGAAATTGCTTTTCCGAAGTTAAACCGCTTTATATACCCAAATTAGTCATACAACTTTTACCACCTTAACCTTGAACATTTTAAGTTTTGATTTAACATTGAATGAAGTAAACCAACAACATTTGGACACGATTTTTGGTACAGGGTTGGTGCTATTACTTTCCGTACAATTGATTTGCCATTTAGAAGAACCTTCACAAACATGTTCTTGACAAGGACAGAAAAATTGGAACCTTAAAACAGAAAATATCACAAATCAGTGGACGAAGATGAACGCCCTTATGTTTTGCGCCTGTAGCACTATAAAGTGAGTGTACGTGGAACATCCATTGCCATTTGTCGTTTTTTTCTAAAGGGGGAATCCAAGATCATGATGTGAATTCGATTTGATATTTTTTTGCTAATTTTGTGTATAAAATTAAATTCATTTAATCGTCAAATCAACCCAAAATCATACTTATAAAAATGGTGTTTTAAATTATTAAAAACATATTTAAAAATTATAACGAGACCTAACCAAAGACCCGATTCGATTAATCAGAATATCCGGAACACAAGTAATGGAAATTAACTATATATATATTTTTTTTCAATCATAGTTTTACTCAGAATGATTTCATCATGTAATATAGAAAATCAACATTTCTTTGTATGTTAAATTTATCTAATAAAGTGAGAGTTATTATCAAATAATAGTACAAATTTATTTTACACCGTCATTATATAAAACTAATTTATATAATATATAGATAAATTTATTACAATGCTGTTGTTGTTTTTTATTCTTATTTAGTCATAAGTTGTCATACATCATAAAGTGATTTTTAATTGATTAATATCATTCTCTTACAATGATTTAGAATAAATCTAACCTTAGGATTCTCAATTTATTGCAAGCACTTACAAGGAGTCAAAGCTGATCAGAAAATATGATAATATATATTTTTCACTTTTGATTACTAAAGTAAAGAAATTGTACATTAAAAAGTGTAATCGTGTAGATATATTTATTTTAATAAATTGCAATTTCTTTTTAAAAAAGTTACGACATGGAAATAAACAGAACCAATGAACAGAAAAACAATCATGAGTGTTGTTTTTTGTCTATAAAATTCATAGAAAAACTTTATGTTTTAAAATACATAAGACAATACAATGAGTCAATGCGAATATCAAATTAATATCATTATTTTTATTTCAATTTCATTTATAGATACATATTTTTATTTAATTTAGTTTTATTTTTTTTAAAATGAAACAAAAACAATTTAAAAAATACTAAGAATGACATATTATATTGATTTTTATTTTTTATCACCTGTCAAATTTTTGGTGAGACATAACATTATTAGTACTACATGGTAAGACAATACAACGTTTCGATGTGAATATCAAATTAATATCATCGTTTTGATTTTAATTTAATTTATATATATACTTTTATTTAATTTAGTTATATTTTTTAAAATATAATAATATCGTCTTTCCGGTTGTAGAAATTTAATATTAATGTTTTTATTAAAAAATAATTTTCCAACATCTTATATTATTAATCTATTTTTTATACAATTAAAACTAATAAGTATATGTTGTTTAATCAATATTTAAAATTAATATATCATTAGTTTATATTTTTTTTATAAAAATAAATTAATTAATAAAAATTATACAAATAATAAATTTAACATTTTTTAATAAAAATTAAATTTATTATTCATATAAATATTATACTAATAGTTATATTAAAATTTATTAAAAAACATAAATTAATTATATTCAATAATATAATATATAAAAAGTTGTTTTTAATAAAAAATATCATAATAATACTTATATAAAGAATAAATTTTTGAGAAATAATATTATTTTATATTTAAAAAAATTGAGATTAAATTAAATTATAGATACATACATAAAAACTATATTAAAATCAAAATAATTATGGACATTCACGTGTCACTAAAAAATATACACATGACAACAAAATTTATTAAAGAAATAATAATTAAAAAATAAAATAAAATAAAATAAAAATTAAAAAGTCACATATTTCGTACCATTAACGTCGTCAAATGGAGACATTTTTTTTTTTCAAAAATTGAAACAAAATTAAAACAAAAAAATAAAGCGAAACCAAAGAAAAATAAAACAGAAATAGTAATCTTTATTTTATTTACTAACAATGGGAGACTCGAAAGATGAACAGTTAGTCGGGTCGGGTGACTTGGTTCGGGTTCAATAATGGAGCCGTGCACCGTTATCTTGAATTCACTTGTTCATTCATTCTTCATGATTCTATTGCTATTAGCCAAGACTACTGGGTCTTTTTGTCAGAGGAGAACTTCTACCTTTATTTCCTTCCTTCTTCTTTCCCTCTATAGTTTGGTACCACCGACTTTACCTCCAACCACAGAATCGCTTTTCTGTAAGTCCTCTTCTCTGCCACTCCCTTAGCTTCTACCTAACTTTTCCTTTCTCGCGTTTTTTTCTGCTCCTCAATTTAATTCCATTATTTACATGCTTATCTTTTTCATCTTCATCGTTTTTGGTATGTTTAATTTATTTATTATCTTTTCTTTTATTTTCTGTAATTGAAATGAGATTCACCTACGAGGTTATAATCATGTCCATTGTTCTCTTTATTTTTTGGAATTTCACTTTCCGAATCTGCAAATTTGACAGCATGTGTATTTTTTTCTTATTCTATTCCAATTGTAACTCTTATTGGTAATTAATACATGTTTTACTAACGCGTTTTTTAAATTTATTTGGCAGATTGGTCGATGTTGCTTATGAGCAGATTTTGTTTATGTTTTGATGGTTAGATTTCTACTGTGGATATGTGATTGTTGAACTTAAAACTACATTATGGATGAAGAATTGGTCGATGAGGCAACCCAATTGGTGGTTGCTGAGGATTCACAGCGCCAGAACAAAGATTCACCACACACGGAATGCCGAAAAATCTTACAATCTCAAGAAGCCCGTATTCCTGTTAAGCATGACTACTCGCAGTTACCACCTCGGGAATACGATGGCGTTCTACATGGTAAAAGTATAGTTGAAGGTATTGACCACGCAGATACATCACAGCATCCTGGTGTAAGCCTTTTTATGGATGACGGTGATGCTATGGTTGAAGAATTAACAGTCAAAAGTTACAATGGCTCAAGCTTGGATATTGGTACATCAAACAACCGAGGGCAAACGTATACTTGGCAGAACCATAGGCAGAATTTATATCAGGTAGCAAGTAATTCCGGAATTGGAAATTCACTAAGTGATATCGGAACTAGAAACAGTGTCCAGGCCACATCCAGTGGTCGGGAGGATATCGGGTCCTCATCTTTCCCGGAGATACTGGCTAGAAAATCTCTCAGTGATGGCCAGAGCAATGTCATGGAGCACTTGGCAGCTGCTGAAAATAAAGAGGGTGCAGGTGATGTTCGTCAAGGAATACGGACAAAAATTATATCCCAATCGGGATTTGCGGAGTTTTTCATAAAAAATACACTGAAGGGTAAGGGTATTGTATATAAAGGTCCGTCGTATGATGCCTTCTGTGCGCAGTCTAGAGAGCAAAACCGGATGAAGACTAACATTGGCACTGAACAGAATCAGATGAGGACCAGCATTGGCACAGAGCAGAATCAGATGAGAACGGGCATTGGCACAGAGCAGAATCAGATGAGGAGAAGCATTGGCACAGAGAAGAATCAGATGAGGAGCAGCATTGCCACTGATCAGAATCAAACTAGGACCAGCATTAGCACAGATCAGAATCAGATAAAGATTGGCGTTGGCACAGATCAGAACCAGACGAAGACTAGCATTGGCACAGATCAGAATCAGATGAAGAATAACACTGGTACTGATCAGAAACAGATGAAGACTGGTATTGTTACTCACTTGAACTCTAATCAATCAGTGGGCTCTGGTTCCAAAACCCCGAAGTTTTCTTCTTATTTTGGTGCTATGGCTAGATCTGGCAAGTCTGAATGTAATGGTGTGACTTTGAGAGAATGGCTGAAACATGGGCACCATAAAACTAGCAAAGTGGAAAGTTTGAATATATTTAGGAAGATTGTGGATTTGGTGGACAACTCTCACTCTCAGGGAGTTGCATTGCATAAGCTATGTCCATCTAATATTAAATTGTCGCCATCGAACCAAGTCATGTACCTTGGTTTACCTGTTCAAAAAAGAATGGTGGATGGTGTTGTAAATTCTGAAGTTGTCCACGTAGATAGTTCTGTTATTAGAAAAAGGCAGTCAGAGCAACTAACATCTCCCTCTCATGGAATGGGGTCAAAGAAGCAAAGGCTTAATGAGAATTTGAGGGTTACTGGTGGTGACTTGGGTCTTGAAACTGCAAGTGATAGGAAACTTCATAGCGGATCACTAGATATTTACAATGAATATGAGGAAGATACTCAATTTTCTAAATATAACATTGGAAGAATGTCTAGCATTCCTCATATATCTAATGCTGGTCAAATTCCATTGACTTCTTGTGAAAAATTTGAAAATAAATGGTACACAAGTCCCGAGGGAGGTTACACAACATCATCAAATATATACTGTCTTGGTGTCCTCCTTTTTGAGGTGTGTCAAGTTCACGATGCAATTTTCATGCATTCTTTTATAATGTTTATTCCTCAAATTGAAACATGTTTCTATGTATGAACTTGTGAAGTACACACTGAAATAAGCTTTTGTCTGTGTACATTAGCTCAACATGGTTTCTAGCATTAGTATTGATTTGGAAACTTATTGGTTTTTCTCTCTCTCCTTTTTTTTTCCACTTAATTGATATCTTCTTAGCAAGGTCCAAACCCAGATATTAAAGGTCATTATTTCTTAGCAAAGTGGTTGCCTCATTTCAGGCTGAATAAAAACTAGTGCGGGAGTTATTGTGAAATTCTTTCCGGTCACTAAAATTAAGTTATTGGTATAACTGGAAGCAATTTGATGCATAGTAAGTTCAGCAGCTGATTTTACTTGGGTCAATTTTTCAGTTACTTGGTCATTTTGAGTCTGAAAGAACGCATATTGCAGCAATGTCTGATCTTCGACATAGGATTCTTCCTCCAATTTTCCTATCAGAAAACCCTAAGGAAGCTGGCTTTTGTCTTTGGCTGCTGCATCCAGAACCGTCATCACGTCCAACAACAAGGTAGTATTGAAATATTGTCTATCATTGTTAATGTCAAATTTAATGAAAATATCCTATGAAAAAAGGATTTCACAAACATCTGATGTACGTATCTCACTTTTTTCCCATTGCTTTTTCGGATGAATGCTGTAGATATGGTAGAATGTATATTGTGTAATGAAACCATGGCATTCCGTTTATATTGTTGTTCCAAGAGGTATAAGCATATGCATAACATTTTCCATTATTAGGCTCATGCATTATATCTCATGTGATTATTTGTGTTATCACTCATCATAAGACCTTTGTTCAAATCTCCTCCCCCCTACCGACAGGTTAATTTGGATGTTGTACTATGTTCTCCAACATCATGTTGGTGCCATAGGCCTCATTAACTAAATGTTTGAGCTAACTAACTAGATGATAGCCGTGAAGGAACTTACTTTATAAGTCAATAGTAAAAATATTATTCCCATATAACTAGATAATGGCAGCCACATCTTTTTCCATATTATTTATACAAAAGTGTCTCTGAAGTTATTATGGACAGACTTTAAATATTTGTTCTCTGGGATTTCATCTCTATCCCTTCAATTGCAAACTTAATAAACATGTTTGATTCTAAATTGCATCTGGTTTGAAAATTTGAAACATAGGAGGTTGCATTGAATGTACCAAGGTCAAGGGGAATAAATGGTCTAATCTTTTGATCATTTTAGTGGAAAAGTTACCGGAGGAAGAGGAACATGTTTTTTTAGAAGGCATATACGTGAAGTGAAAGAGGGAGAGAGGAACTTCTGATTTATTTGGGAGGGAACTTGGGTAAGGGAATCAGAATACGGAAGGAAGTTTTGGCATCTGGTTTGTGTCCTAAGCTCTGCGAGCTATGGAATAATTTTTTTTAGAGTCATTTTCTTTTTCTGGGTTTTAGATACATTTCAGTGTTCCACTATAAATTTGTGTCCTCTGCAATATTCAGTGAATGTTGCCTTTATGAGTTACTAGTTTTCTTTTCATCAAAATTATTCAGAGAATTTTAAAATTTGATATTCTTCTCTTTCTGTCCTTGAATATATATTTATTAGTGTTTGAGTTAACTATGCTGTTAGTTCTTAAATTATGGACTTCAAACCCGAGTTATACTCTATTGATATGATTTTCTAAAGTCTTAACTTATTAACTTCTGTTGCATAACAGGGAAATTCTTCAGTCTGAATTGATTAATGGATTGCAAGAGTTCTTTAGTGAGGAACTGTCATCAAGTATTGACCAAGAGGATGCAGAATCGGAATTGTTATTGCATTTCCTTCTTTTGTTAAAAGAGCAGAAGCAGAACAATGCTTTCAAACTGGCAGAGGAAATCAAGTGCTTGGAATCAGATATAGGAGAGGTGGAGAGGAGGCACGACTCAAGAAATTCCTTGGTTTCCTCTGGCTTGCAGAATGATTACTCTTGTCAGAGAGAGATTATGCCTCTTAGGATGGAATCTTCAAGTTTAGAAATGCTGCCCTCAATATCCCCAAACTCTAATTCAAATGAAGTGAGATTGATGAGAAATATATGCCATCTTGAAAGTGCTTATTTTTCCATGAGATCCAAACTTCAGCTTTCTGAAACAGATGCCTCAACTCACCCTGATAAAGATGTACTAAGAAATCGTGAGAACTGGAGCGTGGCCCAAAAAAGTGAGGAACAACCTAAAAGGAAAGATACTTTAGGGACATTCTTTGATGGTTTGTGCAAGTATGCACGATATTCCAGGTTTGAAGTGCGCGGTGTACTAAGAAATGCTGATTTTAACAATCCTGCAAATGTCATTTGCTCTTTAAGCTTTGATCGGGATGCAGATTACTTTGCCTCGGCTGGGATATCTAAGAAAATAAAAATTTTTGAGTTTAGTGCACTTTGCAATGACTCTGTTGATATCCATTATCCTGTGGTTGAGATGTCAAACAGATCAAAACTCAGCTGTGTTTGCTGGAATAACTATATTAAAAACTATCTTGCGTCTACAGATTATGACGGCATAGTGAAGGTATGTTTTAGAGAAGACTCTGTTGAACTATTATTTGATTATTGGAAAATGTTCTTTGCTGTATTCATCCATTACTCCTATGTAATTGATGCTTTTCTGGATCAAACTGAAATGCTCTGCCTTAGAAGGTTTACTCACTTTTTCCCTAGATTATTCAGGCTAAAACTCTTACCCTAAATAGATAGTTATTTTCTCAAGATTGTGTTTGGATTCTAACGTCTATGTTTTTAGTTAGTTTTGTCATGACATGACTCAAACCTAAAGTTTACACTAGTAACAGAACAATAATGAATGATTTTATATAACATTTATATCTCTAACGAACCCACTTATCCAGAGTCCTTTGGGCTTAAATCATAGATAATGCACAAGTACACCTACATTCTGCTGAAATTCACATTTCATTAGAAAAAATGGGGAGACAAGGATCAAACTCTAGACCACTTTGTCATATAGACTCTAATGCAATGTCATTAACTAATTTTCCTTAGAGCATAAGCTGTTAGGTAAAGACGTATGAACCATTTCTTATTATATCTCTATCTATTTAATTAGTTACATGTTAATGCCTTGATTTTATTTTAGCTGCTTCCCTGACTTTTTAAGTTGCATATGCAGTATATTTTAAATCTGAAGTTTCTAGGGATGTCTTTATCCATGTGATCTGGTTTCATAACTCCTAAAAGTTTACCTTGTGGAATTAGAATCTAGAGATGAATATTTATAATACATAGTCATGGATAGAGGAATTTAGAATACTTGGGATACTTTTGTTTTATTATTAAATAATGAGTTCATAGAAAGTTATAATTTGAAGGTAAAAACATGTGTGGTTATGGACATACTGATACCCTTATCCTCATAAAGTTTCCAGTAATGCACTAGCAAAACCGTAGGTACTAAGATTTTACACTTGTGGATTTCAAAAAAAGATGAAAGAATAAATAGTTTTCTTCATGGCTATTTTGGATCTTTTCTTCTATGATGTTCTCAAATAATGTTATTTTTTGCCGTGACTTTGTGCTACTGTTGCAACACTTCCTGAATCATACTCATTAAGAGGAATGTACGCACTTTGTCGAAGTACGTGGTTGTACATAGCATATTGTTTAGCATTACAGTAGAGGCATTATTTACTTAAATATAGTATGGCATCCATTCACTTGATTGTAAACAGCTGGACCCATTATCATATGGAAATGAGTTATTTTAGGGTTGGGTGGGGGTTGAGAGAGTGTTACCATTTTTTTGACAGCTGTCATACTTTGACTTCCTGCGTTAGTCATGGCATTTTGCTATTTGATGCATTTTCAGTTATGGGATGCAAGTACAGGTCAAGAATTTTCTCAATTCACTGAACATGAGAAAAGGGCGTGGTCTGTTGACTTCTCTGTAGTATGCCCCACGAAATTTGCCAGTGGAAGTGATGATTGCACTGTCAAGCTGTGGAGCATCAGTGAGGTAAACCCCCTTTTTATTTGCAAACACACACATATACAGCGCATATGCATGTAAGCATGTGGATGCGCAGATTTTGCTTGACTTCAAATGGTAACGAAGAAACAAACTAGAACGTTGTTTCTTTTTGAGCTTTACTTGTATTTATGACCTAAAACGTAACATGAATATTGTAACTTTTGATAGTCACTGTTCATTTGGGTTGATCATGGATTGGTTGACCTGTGTTAAAATTTTCAGCTAGGGTTGGGTTCATTAGTTGATTTGGTTTGAAAATAGATAAACTCATAGCAATTGGTTGGGTAATAGATTTCGAAAATTTTCAAATCTGACCTGAGCCGAACCTTTTCACAAAGTTTGAATCAATGTTATTAGAATTGTATGATTCATTGCAATTCGGCTAGCTGTCTATTCATATCATAAGATAAATCTCAAATGACTTTGAATCCCATGTTCTATGAATGAGTTGGTGCAATTTCGTTTCATCAATGTTTAGTAAGAATTGTACAATTTAGCAATTCATTATTTCTTCTTTTAAACTTTTCATTTACCAATTCTCGTGAAAAAAGTTGTAAAGTCATATAAACTTAAATGGTTAAATGAAAAGGATTTGAAAGAGTACTTACGAAGTTATTGATCGATTTCTTTAGTATAGGAATCTATCTCACTCGCACTAAGCACTCACACGCACAACAAACTGAACAACAAAACTGTATATTATTCTTGTAAAAGAATACAGATGTACAACACCAAACTCTCAAGGAAACACTTTCCATCCACAGGAACAACCTCCTATCAATAGAAAGAATATCAAAAGCTCCCCCTCACACAAGACCTCCCTCCTTATAAAGGCCCTAACCTACTAACAACTAATTCCTAATTCCTAATTTGGTTCCTTCTGTCCTGCATCCATTATATCCTATCACATTATATCTTATCATTAATTTGATAGATTTCTTTAGTCAAGAAATCAATCTATCACTCCACACAACACTCACTCACACACAGATGAAAGAAAACGTATGTATATTACTTCTGTAATCAAGAATACAATGTACACATCCCACACTCACAAGGGAGCACTCTCCCTCCACAGGATACAGAGGTCCTATCTATACAAATGAATTAACCAAAAGCTCCCCCTCACACAAGACCTCCCTCCTTCTTATAAAGGCTCCCCAACTAACTAACCAAACTAACAACTAATTCCTAATTTGTTTCCTTCTGTCCTGCACCTATTATATCCTATCACATTATATCCTATCAGTTATTCTATGTTACCATTCCTCTGATATTTGTGACCTATTCATTCAATGCCCGGACTCTATTTTCTGTTTCATTTCTTTGTTTTCATTCTTTCAAAATAGAGACTTTCACAAGCTTAGATATAACTAATTTTGTTTTATGGTTTATTTAATTTTAAATTGTTACATTGAACTCCATGCATTGGCTATATGATATATTTGAAATTATTTCCAGTTGTCTTCAAAGCCTATTATTTGATTATTATAAAACTTAGCTTGACCATTTTTTTTATCTGAATATTGATTTGATACCCTTGGTTTGGGTTCAAGATTTCCTCAACCTGAAATAAAATCCTTGATCACCAAATGAGCCTTCTGTATTCGTATCAAGCAGATGAATCTAAGAATATTTTTTTGGCCTAACCAATTGTATGGAGAAGAAAGGTTTCTGTTAAATTGTTTTATCTTGTTTTAAATACAATTTTAATTTTAGTCGTTACATATAAGGCCATGTTAGATTTTAGACACTAGATATGTTAATTTCTTTTTGGTTCCTCATTTATGGTAATGCACGAATATGATACAGTACAAGGCGTATACGATATGATATGCTTATTTGAATAATAGAGGATGTTCGTCTTGACATATGCGTGGTTAAAAATGTATAAAATTATTAAAACATGATAATATATAATTGCAATTGTGCAGACTTAAATTAAAATTACATTTCTTGGACATTGTCAAAGTAAAATAAAAAATTGTAAATCATTATCATCATAAAAATATTTGTTCTTCATGGGTTTGGATATTTCTTAGATACGTATTGAAGTATCCATACATGAAACAAGTTGAAGTATCAAAGCATCATATATAGTAATATGTGGCCCTTATTAGGAGATGGTATTTTTTTGGGACTAAAATAATATTAAACACTTCTATCATTATTTTTCAAAATAAATAGTGTGGCAGTGGAGACCTGTAGCCCGTAATGGATAGATTTTGCTTCACATTGTCTTTTACAGGATGCTGTAAAAGAGTGAACAATAATTTTTTCCCATTAATTTATCAAGAGCTAATGCAATATAACTTTTTTCCAGAGGAACTGTTTAGGCACAATCAGGAATGTTGCTAATGTCTGCTGTGTTCAATTCTCTGCTCATTCCTCCCATTTGCTGGCCTTTGGATCTGCGGATTACTCAACATATTGCTATGATCTTCGCAATCTTAGAAGTCCCTGGTGTATATTGGCTGGCCATCGTAAGGCCGTGAGCTATGTCAAATTCTTGGACTCTGAAACACTTGTTTCTGCCTCTACTGATAATACATTGAAGATCTGGGATCTCAATAAAACCTCTCCTGTGGGTGCATCCACTAATGCTTGCAGCCTAACCCTGTCAGGCCACACCAACGAAAAGGTTTGGTTTTAAATTTAATAGCACTGGGTATGAAGTGCCTTTAAAGCATGTTTGTTACTCTTTCAAATTCCTTTGAAAATTTCACTTTTTGGGGATTAAGTGGAGCCTTAGATTATGGTTGATGATCTGAATATCAAAATCAATTATGAGATCCAGATTGGTTTTGACCAAAATGATTTGTGCAGTGCTGGTGACTATCCAACTACTATACCTGCATGTCAGGAATTAGATATGTTTTTGTCATTAAACTGGCCCATGTTTATGTTTACCTGATTGGTTAGCTGAAATCTTCTGCCCCCTTCTTGACAGAATTTTGTGGGTCTGTCAGTGGCTGATGGATATATAGCATGTGGTTCAGAAACAAATGAGGTATATAACTCCTTCACTCTCCTTGAGATTTCATCCAACTTCTCATGATACCCTCCCTTATTTTACCCCCACACTAATCTTCCTTAATTGTTTGAAAAACAGTATAATATTACACGAACTTTTTTAGATGTTTGAAAAATATTACAACATGTTTTCTTATAAGAGATGCTTCTATAATGGAAAAAAAAAACTAAAGAATTGCGTCCTGAAGAAATTTTACAATGTCAGTGTAATTTATTGTATTCATAATTTATTTAAGGGCTAATATAGAAAACCGAATGGGACTGAATTTTTTAATATCTAGCAGAAAGTTATGTGTGTGTGTGCAGGCATCACAATTGTGTTTTCTTGCAGGTTTATTCCTACTATAGATCGCTTCCCATGCCAATCACTTCCCACAAATTTGGGTCCATTGATCCCATTTCTGGTAAAGACACAGAGGATGACAATGGACAGTTTGTTTCAAGTGTGTGCTGGAGAGGGAATTCCGACATGCTTATTGCAGCCAATTCAAGTGGATGTGTGAAAGTGTTACAGATGGTTTAAAGGAAAGGCTCCCCATGGCTGACTTTCTTACAGCTTTGCGAGTTCCTGGAGTGTCCTTGTTACTCAGGCACTCGGCCCTATCCCATGAACATGTTGGGAGCGTATAAAAATTCTTTTGACATCTTGAGCTATGGCTTTATAATTTGAAGTGGAAGAAGGGCTTCAACTCGGCCATAATTGAATGGAGAAATAGTTCTGCAATCTAAATCCTCATCTTTTGTGGTAGTTGGATTCATCATCACGTGCAACTCGGACTCCAAACCAGAATTTCACATTCTCATATGTAGAAAAGGCTTGTTATACTCAAATATCGCTGGGGTGAATCCGAGAAGCAGATTGAAACGATACTAATTTGGGTCCAATTTAGAGAAGCTTCTCAACAAACATTAATTGGAGAAGAAAACAAATCAAATTTCTCGTATGAGTTAAAATCAATTTATGTACATCGGTTCTTTTAAAGTTTCCTCATTTAATATTTTTAAAACTGATGTGCGTAATTTAATTTTAACTTTTAGTAGAAATTTGATTCAAATCTCTATCTCTTATTGATAGAATGATCTAAACTGGGCATGAGATTTTAGAGTTGAAAGCGTTAGTGCCAAGTTGGTTCTTAGCTCTAGAATGTAATCCTGTATCTATGCAAAGGTTATCTGTGCCAATGTAAATTCTATTGCTGTCCTTTTCAGATTATTTTTTATTTATGAAGGACTAACAACTGTACGGTTTATAGGAAAAGTGATTGTTTATCATGTGATGAATCAATCTCTTAACACTAATTAACTTCAGGTTTATACAGATCCTTTTCTTTCTCTTTTGCCTTCTTTCTTTTTCTCTTTCTATCTTTCTTTCTACCTCTTTCTTTATCTATCTGTTTCTTTCTCTCTCTCTTTTTCTTTCTCTCTCTCCATGCTACGCTTCATCTCCAAGGACTGTGTATGATATACATCCCCGGGTAAAGTCCAAGTATATTTCCCTTTATCATTTGTTCAGTGTGTTATACACTTGCAATAAAAGCTTTCTATTGTCAAATTGGTAAAGAACAGTGGAAAATTTATCTATATTAATATTTTTACACTTATTAAGTTTAAATTTAAAAAATTGTGTACGTTTATGTAAAATTTAGTAATTGAGGTTATTTATTAGAGAGAACATTTATTTGTTAATCATTTATAGGTTACTTTTGGTTAAGTCCATATCAGATCGTAATCAGATTAAGCTTAAACATTAAAAAATATGATATTATAAAAAAAATTATCACAAAATCAAAACTAAACCCCATAATTTTTAGTTCAATATCTATATATACAGTTGCATTAAACATATAATTCAGCTCATGATAAATTTCCCTTCAAGTAGATTAAATATGGAGTAAAAAAGTATTAGTATATAAACGTGTGTTTGTCTTAAATTTGCAAATAAAATTTAATTCAGAGTTGAAAAATGATTTAATAAAATAGGCGTTGTTTTAATTTTATAAATAAAATTGTTTAATCAAATAATTTAGATTGATTTGAGCATCATTAGCCTTACGATAATTTCAAGGAGATGTTTTGAAATCCTAATTGATTTGAGAAGATCGAAACAGAAGGGATGGCGAATTGGAGAGGCAACCTCCAATAATTCATACATACATATATCTCCCCTCCACTGAAAGTTGAGATGCTAAAACACAAGAAACCTCCAAAAGATTGCCAATAATACAACTATGCATGAAACTATACTTCTAACCTTCCCCCAAAAAGATACATTTTGAGTTTACATATATGCCTGTGTTAAGAAGGAGCATATATAAACGTAGGGAAGATTTGCATGATGCAGAAACAGTAAAAAGACCAGAACTGTGCCAGCTAAGAAAGGTAAGGTGATGACTAATCAAATAATCTCAAAACATGAGAATCTTTCACCTCAAATCGTGAAAGTCAAAAGGGCCTTAATCCGAGACATGGCCACAAGTTGCGAACGGTGACATGCTTCCTCTTTTCTTCACAAAACTGCTTTCGGACTCAGAGATATGACAGGTTGCTTTATTTGTCCTTAAATGGGGGCTTTGGGGACTCAATGCCCACGGCGAAAACCCACCTGTTGACATCCTTGAACCGTTGTCCGCAACTGAGACATTACCACCTTTTCTGCTCCTTGTGGATGTTCTTGGAGTGCTCAGTAGATTGGTTCGTGTGAGCCCCTTCAAATCGGTCTCAGTGTTGGCACGTCTCATTCTTCCCGCGCTCAAAGATTGGTTCAACGTCATTTGTGACTTCTTCATCCTTAAACTATCTGTCATGCTGCCATATCTAGGTAACGTCGACTGATCCATTTTTTTCAACCTTACACTGGTCTTAGTATCCGACAAATGGCCATCGTGTTTTTTCCTTGAAGGAATGGGTAGTGATGGTGATGCTGATGGTAATGCTGGTGGTGACGCTGATCGATTCCCTTTGGAGTTGCGATCCGATTGAGACCCCAGGAAAGATCGTCTTTTACTTGGACTCAAATTGCTTGGTGGCAATGATGGTGTATTCACCTTTCCCGTCCTTGAAACTCGATTCGATAAAGAAGGTCGAAATGATTTTGTCTTCCGCAATATTTGTTTTTCTGTTTAAACCCATTTAATATGCATTTAGTTTCTTGCAATCAAACACAGCAAAATATATATTATGCTACCAAACATGATATTAACATGATATCTGCAATCTAAATTTATCTCTTTTCTTTCTCTTGGTATATATTAGCATAAGGAGTGCATAGAGGATTTTTTAACACGTAAAGAAGATGAAAGTTCATTCCCAATACTACCAGTTATGCCGAGAGCACTAGAAAGAAACCATGATCGACACTTAGAATAAAACCCTTGGATACATAGAATGCAAATTTAAACAAGTGAACTGACCTTGTTCATTCTTTGCCTTCACGTGTGTTTGGTTCTTTATACTAACCGTTTTCTTGTAAGGGAATTCTGAGGAAACAAACTGTGCGTCACTGCAAACTGATGTAGGATGGGTTGTTTGAGGGAGCGGATCTTTCACTATGGAGGCGTTATCATCATCGCACTCTGTACTTGGGTCATCACTTTCACTCCTACACACATCCTTTTGGTGGTGCTCGCAGCATTCATCTTTGGTAGTACTGTTGTTAGGATTCATTTTCTCTTTCTCCACAACCTTATAAGCAAACATTTCATAGGGTATCTGGGACACAGCGGACACACAAGATGACCTCTCGGTTGAAGAGCTCTTTAGGAACGTTGTCTCTATCTCAAAGCAATCCACAGGCGGAACCTCAAGAAAGTTGAGCTCAGGGTTGATGAGTTGGGCCTCTGAGTTCATGGCAAGGAATTTTTTGGTGTACCGCAAAATCCTACAGATGGAGGAGAAGCTGGGACGCTGACCAGGGTCAGCTTGCCAGCACTTCCTGATCAAATTCACAAGGTATTTCGGGGAACGGTGAGGAAACAAAGGTCTCTCACCGACCTTTATGTTTTGTCTAATTCTGTCTCCTTGAAGGTGGTTATCTTCATAAGGCACTTTTCCTGTCAACAACTGGAAGCATATCATCCCAAAGCTGTAGGCATCGGCTTCCTTAGAAGAAGCACCACCATTATTTTGTTCCAAACGGGACAGAACTTCAGGAGCATACCAGGTTAAAGGGTTAAAGTCTTGGATGGCAGTATCGTCAGGACTAGCATTGTTGACAGAAGACAAGGCAAAGCCTGCAACCTTTGCCTGAAAATAATCCTCTTGGGAGTTCATTTTTTTGAGGTAAATATTACAAGGGTTAAGTTGTCCATGGCAAATGTTTTGGGAATGCAGGTACTCCATTCCTCTGGCCATCTGAAGCATGAGATCCACCACAACAGGGATAGAGAATAGAATCTGCCTCCTAGGACCACAAATCTCTTTCATGTAAGTCCACAGATCCTTGTGCATTAACTCCATCACAAAAGAGAACTCTTTCTTCTCCTCGTCGTAAAACCCGCAAAGGTATTGCAATATGTTGGGGTGTGAAAGCGAGAGAATAGAGGAGACCTCAGTCTGGTGTGCTTCTCTCTCCCCATGAAAGTTCCTCATCGCGAAACTTTGCCCCAACCATTGGATTTCCTTGAAGTCCTTCCGGTGGCCCAACCTCCGTCTCACCTGGAAACCTTTGGACCCAACAAGCACCGCAATTGGGCCGATCTCCGAACCATTGAGAAGCTTTTTGAGGAGCATATCAGCGAGGCCATGCTCGCTCTCCCTAAACACAGCTGAACCACCTTCCTTCGCAGTCTTGTCCTTGATGGCCTCGATGAGCCTCCACCTGTCCTCTCTCCAGGCGTTCTCCAACTTCTTGCAAATCCCGCGCGGGACCAGGTACTGCTTCCCGAACCTCCATTGGAACAGCTCCGGGTCCTTCCATTCCACGTCATACTTCCGACCCAGTATCACCTTCTTCTTTGCCTTCTCCTCCGGATCTAAACCCGTAATCTCCCCTGCAATCTCGATCGCCTCGATCACCGCCGGGAAATAGCAGAGAAGGTTGTGGATGTGGAATTCCACGCAGTCTCGGTGGTGAGAGAGGGTAATGGCTTTCCCCAACCAATGTTTGGAATCCAAACACTGCTTTATGTAATGCTCTCCCTCCTTGAAAACCCTGCACAACTCTGTCAGAGGAGATTCCAGAGCCTTCCATTTGCTGTTCCTCTCTTCCAGCTTCAGGTTCTGCCGCATCTCCTCTGCGATCGTGTCCATCGCCAAACTGAATATGTCCAGGATCAAACAGCATTGACGTTGGTTGATTTGGATTTCATCGCGCAGAACCATAAGCGCTTTCAGACTCCCAACCACCTCTCCGATATGCCGGAACTGTTCCATTCCGGCACTCAAAATCTACAAAACAACAATCCAACAATTAAAATTGGGAAGAACATAAACAAACATGCGAAGAATGAATCATGCACCGTGTGATTGCGTGTATCCTGATTCAAATTACAACAACATCATACAGAGAACCAAATATGATTAAGACAAAAGGTTTGTTTGATGGCGGGCGTATAAAAGTTTGCAACCACGATTATGACCGCGTGTTTGAACAAAAGAAACAAGAGGAAGAAAAAAAAAAGAGATAACGAAATCGCATAATACTAACACAAAAAGGATGACAAAAGCTTACTCTTGACAAAGCGCAAAACGAAGAAGAAGGACGGAGAGGGTTTTGTTTGCGGGGGCAAGCGGTTAGGAATTTGTTTGCAGGGTGGCATGATGATGGTGGTAGTTTTGATTAGTTAAGTAATAATGTAAGAGGAAACAGAAAACATGAGGAGAAGAAACGGAAAGTGTAAGGCCGGTTGGAAACAGGAGGGTATGTTACTAGGGAGGGATTCTAGTAAGAGTGTTTCTATGGTGTTATCGTTGAATACCTAGGATTTTCGTTAAGAATGCAAATGTCCGATGTTGGCGGGAGACATCCAAAGTCATTAACTAAATTTTTAAATTATTTTCTTAAAATTAATATTAAAAACTTAAAATTTAGTTTATGCATAACTTAATTATAACTTTCAAAATTGTTTTTTTTTTTAATTTCATCGATTATATGTACTGTTATAAAATTTCATCTCAACAGTGAGTTTTAAAACAAAATAAATTGGATTAAACTATTCGTAATAATATTCTCAAAACCGGTTTAAACAAACATACTTTTGTGTGTACTGTTTGAACTGGGAAGAGGATTTAAGAGATTTAAAGGGATATAAAGAATATTGATGTTATTCAGATTGAAAGATTGGAGGAAATGGACGAAAGAATTTAAAAAGAAAATTTATGAAAGTTTGTTTCTAATATAATTGGTATGATAAATTAAAAGAAATATTTTAATAGATAAAATTAGATAATTATTATTTTATTTTTAAAGATACATGTAATTTAAAGTTAAATATGAATAGTAAATCTTTTGTTAAAATAAATCGAAATTGTTATTTAAAATTACAAAAATACTATAATTATAATTATTAATATATATATATATATATATATATAATAAAAATAAAAACTAATTATATATATTGAAGTTGTAATTTAAAATTAATAATAATTATTATTATTATTATTATTAATTATTATATTATTATATTATTATTAATAATATTATCATTATCATTAATATTATTATTATATTATTAATAATAAAAATGTGTGTAGAGGGAAATTAATTATGTAAAAGAAGAATTGATTTTCCTCCTATTATATCACACATACACAATTGAAGAGTTTGCACGACATATAAACAAATTTGAAGAGTTAGCACGGTATCATGGGAGGGAAATCGATTTTGAAAAGAAGAAAATCGATTTTCCTTCCTTTTATATAGTTCAAAATGGATTTTAAATTTTTTAAATCATCCATAATATCAATTCTAAATCATCATAACCACCTATAATTGTTTTTAAATTTTTTTCATTTATCCAGAAACGATTTTAGAATTTTGAAAATATAACAAAATCGATTTAGGTCTTTTTCTTTCTAGGAGAATCAACATAATCGATTCTACAAAGGAGAAAATTGATTCCTTTCATTTTTATTCTTCTTTCCAGAATTCATGTATATAAATGTAATATGGCATTCTCATTCAACATAAGCAGTAAATCACTTTTGGATCTCCTCACCATATAAAGATAAAAACATCGTATTCTCTCATAAATCATCACATATTATAATATTCAAATACTTAGAAAAAAACAAGTTCTTCACTGGCAAATTCATCTATAAATACATTACATCGACAAAAGCAAACACACTCTTAAAAATGTTTACATTATTTAGGATATAACACTCTCATTCTTCTAATTTCATTATTACCTTAGTTTTTCTTATTTTTTTAAAATATGATATGTTTTAACAACCAACTTTTTTTTTTCAACAATATCAAATGTCTTATATATGTATAGTTTATTTTATTATTTTATTTATTATATATTTATCTCTTTTAATATATCGTTTTTATTTTAGTTTTTAATATTTTTACAAAATAACGATGTATCACAAAATAAATCAAATGTTATAAATCTAAAAAATATTTAACAAATTAAAATAAAATTTTATTAAGAATTTGAGTTATCACACGTACTTATATATAAAATGATTATGTTCGTTCTTTAAATAATACTTTTAAACTAAAATAATTATTTTATTAACTTTATTCTTCAAATAATTTTTTTAAAATTTAGCTGTTTCTTTTTACTTAAACTATTTTTTTAATTATTAAACTACCTACAAAATAAATAAAAAATATTTACATTTATAATAAAATTATAAAAATTTATTTTTATTATCATAAAAAGAATGAAGGGCCGCGTAAAAGAAATTGTGTTTTACTATATATAATGTTAATATAAAAAATTTAGTTGTACGAAAAAAAAAATCATAGTATTTATTGTGCTTATAAGCTAAGATACTAAACATATTCAACTAAAAAATAGAAATTATAAAATTTTACACAAAAGAAAAAAAAACTAACTATTACGAAACTCAATTTTCTCAGAAAAGAAAACGAAAAAGTAGAAAGTTATTCTTACATATTAAAAAGGCAAATATTTTTCTTTTGTTTCTGAAAGTGATACACATTACATTGATCTTTAATATATCATACCTTTTTCTCCAAAAAAAATCATAAATAGAAGGTTAAATTCCATGATACACTTTTTCATATTTGTTAACCGTTTAATGCTTTATATTTTCGTGTCATCACACTAATTATTGTAGTTGCTGAATAATGATCAACGAAATTCTATACTTAACCTTCAT